TTCTGGTCTGTTTGAACACACAGGAGACTGTGGTTAAAACAGGCACCAAACCACCTTCTCTAAAAGAGGAGGCCATGGGGGGTGTGTGTGGGGGGGCGTTGGGAGGTTTCTCCCTTCACTCAGGCCTGGCAGCCCACAAAGAAATCGTAAGCCCCGGTAAACTAGCCTCTGGAGAGGGAAAGTCCCTACTATTTTATAGTTTCTTCTGCCCTTCTCATTAAGCATCTTGTTCTTTGCTCAGGTTTTTGCAAATTGCTCTGGATGGGACCTGTAGAGAAAGTGCTTTTCTGTGCACTTCCTTCTTATTTCCTTAAGGAACAGAGTTCTTGGGGGAAAAGAACAGTGGATTCTGAGGGCACCTGGAAGAGTAGGTAATTCTAGATCAACTGTGTCACCTTGAATCACTGGGCTCAAGGAATAAAATCCATTTCCGTCACAACTATGGGTAGTAATAGCATACCCACAGCTTCACTAAAGGAGCAGTCGAGAAAAACATTATTATTATTATTATTATTTATTATTACTATCACAATGGTGACTTTATCCACTAAACAGAAATTTCATGACCTACTGACCCTGAAGGGGTATTTGCATACACGGGTGGGAGTGAGAGATGCAAACGCAGGAGGGCGCGGGTAGACAACATGTGTTCATTGCCTTGGGTAGGAGGAGGTGACTATTTCCATACAGACTGTTTCTTACACTATTTTGTTATTGCTAATTCACCAATCAACTGATGTCTTTCCTTCTCTTTGTGGAGGATGATTTCCATGCTATTTTTTTTCTTTTCCTTTCTTCTTGTTTCCCAAATACCTTCTCCTCCTGTCTGCTCTTGCTCGGTTCCTCACTCACATGGAAGAATAAAAAGTATAAACATGGAAAAAGTGCTTAAGTAGGGTTGGCAGCCCAACAGTATTGAAAACAGGAACCAGGGTTTCAGAGCATATGTGATCTTTCTACCACTGAGGGACCTACCTTAAGGGGCCCAAAAGCCTATCGGGGGCCAAAGTAGTACCCTGCCGAAGACTGCTCACTCCTGGCAAACCCTATGAGGCATTATGGACATCTAGTGGCTGTTCAAGATAATGCCTCAGGGATCCACGTCAGGGTGGGGAGTAGTCTGCTCTGGGATTTACCAGGAGCCCAATTATCCTGGCTGAGTGAGGTAGTCCAGGGTCCTCTTAGAGTCAGTCCCCTGAATGACCATTTCTTTCATTTCTTATTAGGATTCCAAAGTCACTCAGAATGGCAGACTGGCTCTAGTGAAGACCTATCTTTGTCCCAGTCCAACAAGGTCTAAGGATACCACCTGCACATAAGACGACAGAAGACAGGTGTTCGGAAAAATCTTCAAGCCCCAGGCTTAAATGCCAAAACACCGTCGTCCTGATTGAGGGAAGGAACTCAGAAATGACAGACTCTGGTAATAGTCGTGTGGCTTTACGTAAGTCACTAAGCGTCTCTGAACTTGATTAATGATATTAGTGGGAGGTTGAGTCCAGCTGATCTCCAAGGTATCTTTAATATTCTGTGATCTATGAGCCTTTTCAGTAGCTCGGAAGACAAAGTGCGATCTACTCTGCTCTGGCAATGTAGATCTCTAAGTTAAACTAAAGGAAGCGTTCTCTTCAACTTTGTGGCTCATTTCCAAGACTTGGCTACTATCCCAATGGATCAACTTTCTCCACAGAGCTATGTATCTGAGAAGAGGTGGGAATCAGGGACTATGAGAGCCGGAAAGAGCTGGAAGGAACATTCTAGTCTATTTTCTTAAACTGTTTAGAGCTGGTTTAAGATCTGTCACATTGTCTAGTCAGTGGCAGAAAAACCAGAACTCAGGTCTCCCAATCTCAGGGCAGGTACCACGTTGCTGACAAGGGCCTTGCCTCATCACTTCATGACACCAGTCTCTCTCTGAAACCACAAGTGGAAACATTCTCGACTCAGTGTTTCTTCCTTCTCTTCCTCTCACAGTTTAAGCACTCTTCTCTTCGTTTCCTGGTTGCACCATTCCAAATCAAGGAAGCTGTCGGAACCAGGGCCACGAAGAGGAACAGGCGATGGCTAAATGATACGCAGGTCACAGGATTAGAGGTTTCAGCGCCACTAACAGTTCAGAAGGGCCATGTGCTGCCATGGCCCCACAGCCTCCTCAGTCTAGTCTGTAGCTTCTATGGTGCTCGCTCAGCTCAGCGGGCCTACAGAGGGCAAAGCAGCCCCGTCTAGAACTCCAACACCAAGCCTGGCATGTTCGTGTTCATCCATCACTCGCAAATATTTCCTGGGAGACAACCTCCTTACTCAGTACTGGTTTGATCCGAGGTAGCCCACCCTTCCATCCACCGACACAGTATGGGGGCATAACCTTTCGTTTGCAGTGCCTGGAGTGAACAGATGGGGCCTGAGTTTGCCTACACTGGCAGGAAACCAGTCTGGGCAGACCCCTCTTTTGCCTGAGGAGGTAGGGGCAGCCATGTACTCCAGGGTGCTATCAGACTGTGGCCAGGGTGTCCTCTGGCGTGCTACCGGCCCAATGCCAGCTGTGGCCAGGAGAGGAACCTCCCACCAATAAGCTTCTGATTCTCCTCCACAGATCCCTATCAGGATAGGTTTACATTCCCTGGATCTCTAAGGGGGGAGGCTGCTGCTGATGTACAGATGAAGCTTTAGTAAAGAGAGCAAAAGGAGCCACTCAAGAGCCCAGATAAAGCCTGGTATCAGGGTTGATCTACCTCCATTTCTCTCATTCTTTCTCTTGCTTAGTTATTGTGAGTAAACAAGTTAAAGAATGTATTTTCTCAGCCCCTCCTCTCCCACCCTTCGTTCTATTTCTCTCATATAGCCTTGACTGAACTTTTTAATACAGTCCTTCCCCCAACTTTGCTTCTGCCATTTACTCTCTGCAGTGCAGACACAATGGACATTTCCGTTAGCGATGAAAACACTGGGCTCAGGGTAAGGAGACCAGACTGAAATGTTGGCTCTGTTGCTTTGTGGACGTACCACCTTGAACGTGTTATTTGCCTGCCTGTGCTCAGTACCTCCATCTGCAAAATGGAGACAACTCTGGCAATTACTTCACTTGATAAACAAAGACTGAACGAGGACAGATCCAGACAGACATCTTTATGTCTATAGCCGTCCATCCAAGCATCTATGCTTAGTATGGTAGAGCAGTAGTAGATAAGCATCCTAGTAAATGACTTTTGAAGTACATGAGTGAAACCTGAATTCTCATCCACTGGGAGCAAACTGGGGAATCACTTCCATGCTCAAGTTCCTACACATCTGCCCTCTCCCAGTGTTCACATCTTGGCTCCGCCATTTACTACGTAATTTTAAGGCAGCATATGAACGACTAAAGTTGTTATTTGACTGCAAATGCATGATCAAAAGGTCTTGGTAAACAATGGGGAATCCAGCTTTCCTACAACAGAACTGTTTCCAGGAATTCAAGAACTCCTTGCCCAGGTTACTGGGTAGCAGGCAATCCTGAGATATGAGCGTGGATGAACTCAGAGCTGAGAAATCCAGGACTTCCTCATTCTTCAGGATTAGCCCACAAGCAGGTGATAGGGGTTTAACAAGCAAGCTTGCCCAGGTGGAGGGGTGGGGGCACACGGAGAAGAGTCTGGAGGCAGCGCCTGAAAAGAAGCAATATTGAGCCAATGCCATATTCTACAGGCTTCCCAGGGCTTAGCCACAGATGGCTCCACCCCCACAAAGCAGAGAAAAGGGCAGTCTTTTTCGGGGGTGGGAAAAGGCTGACCTAGTCCTGTTCTCCTACACTGGGCTGTCAGATGCCCCAGGGTCTCTTCGCCACAAGGCGAAGCAGGTTGCTACGCAGTTCTCACTGAGACCCAGCAACACAGAACAGCTAGTGAAGCCCTTGGGCGGAAGATTTAAGACCCACCTTTCTCAAGGCTTGGGGAAGAGAAAGGGCGACACTGGGCTGCCAAGAGTGAGAAGCGGTGGCCGCCGCTCGTGAATGAACGAGTTCTCCCCTGGTTTCTGGTAGTTCACCTCAATCTTGCCTGCCGGCTGCTGTGCTGTCCCGGGTCGTCATTCCCCGGGGTCCCCACACTTGGCCTTTCCTTCCACCATTTGCCCTCCCTGCAGCCCTCATTAAGAAAACTACCATTTAAAAGTTAAAACCGAGGAAGGGTGAGAAAATTGCGAGGGCGGGGGGGGGGGGGGGGCGCGGGGCGAATGTGCATCTGTGCGGCAGCGCGGGGCGGCCCGCGGAGCCCAGGCTCTCGGTCTTCTGGCTCCAAGAGGCCCCAGCCGCCCCCGCGTCCCCACCGTGCATCTCCGAACTCCGCGTATGCTGCCCGGGCCGCGCGCGGCCAGGCGCCCCGTCAGCAGTCGGCGGGGGTGAGGATGACGCGGAACGGGCGGGAGGCCGGCCAACTGCAGCAACCCTGCCACGCCACCCGCTTCCCGGCCCCGGAGCCCACCGCGTCCGGAGCCGGAGGGGGCCCGGCGCCCGGGGGCGGGGCGGGGCACGGACCGCGGTCTCTCCCGCAGCAGCCCCGCCGCTCCAGCCTATCAGCGGCCACCCGGCGGCTCCCTCGGCTGGACCAAAATAGCTGCGAACGCCTGCGACTTGCGCGCGGCCCCTCACTTGACGCTCACTCCGGCTCGTTCGCCCGCTCCGCTCCCCTCGCCTAAAGGGGGCGGGGAGGAAGCGCCGGGGAGGGGGGTGGGGGGTGGGGGAGAGAGAGGAAGGAGGAAGGAAGGAAGGGAGGAAGGAAGGAAGGAAGGGAGGAAGGAAGGAAGGAAGGAAGGAAGGAAGGGAGGGAGGGAGGGAGGGAGTCGGACGGAGGCGCGGAGCTCGGGGCTGCGCGGCGCGGCGCTGGAAGGCGCCGGCGTTAACCCCTCGAGGGCAGGCAGCGGAGGGGGAGCGGTGTTAATACATAAGAGCACTGCATCACGCTAATCTTCTCCCCAGAACAGTATGCGTCAGCAGTACATTCACGTTCTGACTGAAGGACAAAAGGATGAGAGAGCAGTCTGCGTGGCTGCTGCCTGCAACACCGCGAGCCCGGCGCGAGGAGGAGACGGTGGGCGCCGAGCGCAGGGGCCCCGCTGCTGCTGCTGCTGCTGCCGCCGCCGCTAGCCAGCGCGGACCATGTTCTCGGGCTCCGGAGCGTTCCCCGCAGCCGCGACCCCCGCTGCTCACGCCACCGCCGGCGCTCGGGCCGCTGCAGCAGTCCGCGGGCGACGCAGCCACTGAAAGCGCCGCGAGCCAAAGCCCGGAACTCGCTCCCTCCGCACAAAGCCAG